GTATTTAACTAGGATGATGGCACATAACATTGTATATCAAACCTAATAGCATTTTGTTCACGTTTTAACTGAGTCAGGGTGAGAAGGAAGTATCACCATAATAGAGTTAGAACACTAATCAGAGACCCATTCGCTGCTTTGTTTGGTTTGATGAATACATGCATACTTAATACATATATTTCACAAGGCTTAACGCTACCATTGTACTGTATAATGGAATGACTTTGGTGGTTTGTGTTTCATTTGAAATTTTACCTGATTGAATCCATTTGTAACTAAAGGAAACAGCTGTGATTAGTTACTGATGCCTCCAGAGCAAAATATTTACCAAATAATTAAAGAAACACTTTTCTCTGTTTTCATGTCTGCAGAACTCAACAGTTCTTAATAGGAGCTGTTCTTTTATTTTCAGTGTGAGAGGAAAACATGATGACAAAATACTGCTTAGCATCCCAGAGCTTAAGGAAATGAGTGCCATTTAAAAGGAATTGTACAAGCCATGCAGCTGGAGAAGGACTGGGATGCTGCCTTAGTCATTTAGTCTGAACACACCCATATTTATTTCACTGTCCTGTCAGGAGCAGAAGGCTCTGTAGAGTCTAAAACCTGTTAGCTGCGAGTGAAGTCTATTGCTTTTTGTGTAGTCTTCAGTGCAGGGATGTTGGTGTCCATTTTGTCTCCCAAGGATTACTTTGTTTAAATTTTTTTTTTTTTTCCTTTTTGTCTTTTTTCATGACCGGCAACGGGATCGCAACCCTCGGTGTCGCTCCCGCACCACACTCAACCAGTGAGCTGACCGGTCTCTATATGGGATCCGAACCCTCGGCGGGAGCGCCGCCACGCTCCCAAGCGCCGCACTCTACCGAGTGCGCCACTGGGCCGGCCCTACTTTGTTTAAATTTTAATGGTCTATAAACTAGTGAAATCATTAGAAATAAATTGCAGGTGCTGAACGTAACATTTTATTAAGCATACTAACACTGAAAGGAATGCACCAGAGGCAGAAATTCTGGGGATCCTGAGCGATTGTTTCTTGAAAGGAATCACAGATGTTATTTTCTTAGCTCTTACTAAAGAAGGCAAACATTTAATTTATCTATTACATTTTCCCCAAGCACCTACTATGTTTCTGGTCCTCTTTTAGGCACTTGGGATTGTGGCAGTCGGTAAGGTAGACAAGGCCATGTGCATTATAATGGGGCTGAAGAGTGGAGAGGAGACTTAGGAAAAATATTAGGAAAGGGTATTTTATTGCATTCTTAAGATGTTTTGTGGAATCCCCTAAGACCTAATCATTAGTACTATTTTCTTCCTTCAGTCCTTTGTAAATTTCATTTCTTCTTACAAGCTTATCTTTCACTTCGTATGAATGACTCCTAAATCTCCATCTGTCCCTAATACCCCAGGTTTCAGTCCCAACTTGTCACCTGTCTGCTGGACACTACTTGGGTGCTTCACTGACACCTCAGACTCTACAGCTTTAAACAATCTCATCACCTACCCCTGGGGGAAAAGATGACTAGTTTCCCTTTTTCTTGTCTTCATTTTTTCCCACTACAATTATCTTCCCAGCCTCTAGGCTTGAATCTCAAGTTGCTCTTTTCTTGACATTACCCCCGCACCCCTATAGCCAACCCTCTCATTTCCTTCAGGCATCTGCTTAATAAAGTCTTCCTTTGACCAGCCTTCTAGGAAATAGCAGCTCCTTTCTCTCATCCTGATAACTCTATTCCCTTACTCTTTTTAAACTTTCTCCATAATTTATATCCTTATCTGTCCCCTCTCCACGAGATTATAGGTTACATGAGGGCAGGAATTTTGACTCTTGCTCATTGCTATATCCCCAGAAGTGCTTGGCATGTAAGAAACGTTCACATTTGTGGAATGAACATAGGATGTCATATTATTCTCCTTATTTTCCTTGTAAGTTTTTTGGCTAGCTTCTGGTGTGCCTCAGCTGGTGTCACTGAATCAGGCAGCGAGGATGTTAAATAATTGCTGCCAGACAGGACCCACGGTGGTAGTTTTCTGGGGGAGGTTTTCTGGGAGCGCTCCAAGCCTATTTTGCCCCCTCTGGTGGCTGCTAGGTGCTGTTTTGCATGGCTGCTGTGACTGTGAGGCTGCTGTGATTGTGAGGCTGCTGAGGAGGGGGACTAACGCAAGTTAAAATGCCACAAAACTCATGTTCTTACTGAGATCAGCCATTTTTCTTGAATAATACTCCTTTTTTTGTTGCAATCCTTGGGTTAACTTCCAGAGTTCTGAAAAAGTTTATTTTGACAATTTTTGCTAATGTTCTTGTTGCTTGTATGACGAGCAGATTTTCAGAGGTCTCTAGTTCACTGTTCTGAACGTGCTCCTCCCCATTAGAAGGCTGTTGCTGTTTTTAAATAACAGCTCTATTGAGATAGAATTCACATACCATAAATTGACTATTTGAAGTGCACAATTCAACCATTTTTAGTATATTCGCAAAGCTGTGCAACCATAACAGTTGATTTTAGAGCATTTTCATACCCCCAAAAGAGACCTCATATCCATTAGCAGTCACTCATCCTTCTTACCCCAGCCCCCACAAACACCCCACCCACTGCAGCCCTAGGCAGCCATTTCTCTATAGATTTGCCTATTCTCCTCATTGGGAAGTTTTAAGCAGTGAAGTGACACACTCTGACAAACATTTTTTAAAAATATCACTATATGGAGAATAAACTGTAGGAGTACAAGAGTATACACAGAGAAGTTGGGAAGCTGTACTGAGAGACGATCATGTCTTAGACTAGGATGGTGAAAGTGAAGATGAAAATGGAGAGGAATGGACATACACTTTGTTTCTGGCAGGAGGATAGGCCCCCAACTGATCTTACTACTGAAAATAACCCAAAAAATGTATAATATTTTTTAAAATTTCCTTAAAAACATCACCGAGTTTACCAAGAAAGTACAAACTCTACAGAGGCCAAATATTAATGAATGCAAGAGCTATAGAAGATAAGCCAGCACTAAAGACAAGGGTATCTGCTAAAGACCTTGAGCTGCCTGGGGGATGGAAAATAAAGCCTGGTCCTACTTAATATGGGCAGTATAATTGGAGACCTTTGCATAAAGCAGAGACAAAAGGGCTACACACTCAGTGTAAGAGTGAATGAAAAATAAACATGCTCTATAGAAAGCAAGAAGAAAACTTGTTGCCTGTCTCTACTTTGTCATTGAGCGGCAGGGGAAAAATTGTCCCCTGAGAACTTGAAACCATAAATGGGCTATCACCTGAGTTTTCAGCCTTAATTCTTACTGCTTGTATGGTCAAAATGGCCTCAACTTGAGATCTTAATTTAAAAATCACTCCAAGTTGGAAGTACTCTGTCAGCAATGGGTAGAAATATCACAATCCATTCTGTCAGTCCTCAACTTTAACACTGGCCTCAAAGAACTCACACACAGTTCAAGGGTCCAGACTTCATGATACAATCACAAAACACACAAGAAAATAAGTTATCATGAATAAGAGCCAGCAGCAACAATAGGTAGTAAAATCGGCCCTGCAAACATTTCAGATTTTGGAATTATTGAACATAAAGTAAAAGCAAGTATGCTTTATATCTTATTCCATTTGTGCTGCTACAAAAAAAATACCATAAACTAGGCAGCTTATAAATAGCTGAAATTTATTGCTAACAGTTCTGGAGCCTGGGAAGTCCAAGATCAAGGTGTCAGCATATTTGGTGCCTGATACACTAGTTCATAGATGGCGCCTTCTCACTATGTCTTCACATGGTGGAAGGGGCCAACAGCTCCCTTTGGCCTCTTTTATGAGGGCACTAATTTCACCTCTCAAAGGCCCCATCTCTTAATATCATCGCCTTGGGGGGCAGGATTTCAACATAAGAATTTGGGGTGGGAGGATACAAACATTCAGACCATAACACCTCATATATTTAAAGAAATCAAGAAAAAATTGAAAATTTGAGCAAGGAACAGAAGATTATTTTTAAAAACAATAAACAGATTTGAAAAGTAACCAGAATTTGGGGCGGGAGGA